TCTGATATACGACTGAAACGAAACTCAACCAGGCCTGTTGTACACATCCGTGCAGTAAGCAATGTGCCACACCTATTTTGTCAGTGCAAATGGTACTAGCTGGCTACGCAGTCCGCTGCAGGTGGAGGGGAGTCCGAGCCTATGACCTACTACTTGAACGTCATCTCCCTAAACCACTGAGTCACAGCTCAGTCTCTTCAACGTATCCTAAGCATGACATCAATGCCAAATTTAGTTGACAGTTGGATGGATTAGCTGCAACACTTTGTCACAGATACTCCTGAACAGTTTCAAAACGCGTTCATCATGTAAATCATTACTCGAAGCATGAGCTATAATATCATCTTGATAAGATTTAACACCATTTAATTCAGCTATATTCTGTTTCATAGGCTTTTAAAGTATTGCAAGTGATACTGTTAATCCAAAGGAAAAGAATTTTTATCTGAACATCCCAAATAAAGTGTTATTGGTGGTCAGTTCATCAGAGGCTTGATCAGAAGGAATAAGTAAATAAGCATATTTTAGATATATTTCGAAGTATTTAAAACCACATAGTTTGTACAAGATATAGTCATTTTCCCCTGTAAGGCAACTTCACTGTATTAATCTGCTTATGTTGGACGACAGTTTACACAGATTTCTGGTTTCTTCTCACATTTTTTTAGTGGTATCACAATAGGAGTAACCCAGTTCGGATGCTTAATACAAGTATGCTGTTTCAGCCAATTCTTCGAATTCATTCTTAACTGCTCCTTTTGGGCCATACAGAAACAGTAGACGCTACAAAAAAATAAGATCTCCTTTTATTGCCAGATGTATGGACTTAATGTTCATAACACCTGCAGATCATGATCACCTTAAAATGAGTTTTTTCAGCAAGGATTTATGAAATGAGACAGTGCACATGGATATCTTGATATCTCATAATCTAAGAGCCCTCGACCGAAGTACTAATGAACCATAATCCCTTCAAAGGAATGTCAACTGTGCCAACAATAGTTAACGTAAGGCAGATTATCTCTGGAGTTGAACTAGCAGTGGGTGTCAACTGTACTTTAATTCAGAGTAATAATAAATATTTTTCAGATATAATGGACTCTAATAAATAAATGAATGAAATTTATGACTCAGAGTTGAAAGTATTCACCGGATGAGATTGACTGTTCTGAAATGTTGAAAGAGATAATGATTCAGTTTCAGTGAATACACTAAACGAAGCATAAAAAACCACAGTAGTCAATGCATTTGAACTTTTGCACACGATATTTATATATTCAGTTTTACTAGATTTATGACAGTTAGTACTATGAAAACGACAATTACTTCAGAGGAGTGAAATTTTCCGCATGAACTACATGGTTAGATAGAGTTTTATCATAAACTGTTTCGTGAAGTATGTGGTATTTCATTTTATTCTAAGTCTTCTTATGACTGATAAATGCATTATAAACTCTGAAAACATTACTTCGGACTATGATGTGTATTGAACTGGATAATAGTTATAGAAACCTTCATACATACATATGTTTTTAGATTTTGAAATGCACGAGAGGACTTTTGAACCGACTTCTTCTCAAGTTCTGGATTATCATTACCGGCTATTAAATAATAACCAAGTTGAGTTTGTAACTGGTTACCAAAAACTGTACTTTGACGCTTGTGTTTATAGCTGAAGGACAAAATCTCCAATCTTCTGATTCGGAGCACGTACAAGCTTGTTAAACTGAGCTATCTCTCATATTTTCTAAAACAAATCACGATTGATGAGGAAGAACTGAAAGTTTTTTATATGGTAACGTAAGTGGCTCCTCATGAAATGCAATAATCTTCAGGAAAACTTTATGTTTCTCTATTGATTGATTGCCATGATAAATTGAGCAGGTATTATATTATCATGCAAGGTTTTCGATGTACGCAATGAAATGAAGCATTCGGGGTAATTTTCGATTTCCTATGGCGAACCATTGATAGACAACGAAGTAAATTTAGTTAAATCCATTGTGACGACTCCAAAATATGGTACACAATTGTTTTTGTAGTTGACAATAACGGGATCATCAAGAATTGAACTATCCCACCTCAGAAAAACTGAAGTCAAGATTATGTGATCGGTGCAAATATCTGTATAATTGCTAATGGAATAATGAGAAAAACAAGTTAACTATGAAGATTCACGCAATAAAGTAATTGAAATAGTCATTCATAATATATACAGCAAACCACACTAAGGTTTGATAGATTAGACAGACACTTTTAAGCAACAAAACGTTAACTTTATGTCTTCAAGTGAATCCGGCTGTCATAAGTCAACTAACTACTAAATATGTCCATTAATACAACAATCATTTATGACTTTTTAACGCTTAACTATACATCCAGCTTCCCGAAATCTAAATGATTCTGTTAATTCATTGTGGGGGTTTGTGGAAATTTATTGATTTTAAGATGATATTTATCACGATTCGGAACAATTTGTTCAATGGACACCTGAAGGTTATTGGTTCTCTCTACTGAGGAGTCACATTGTAGGAAAAAGCAGATATCTAGTGCCCCTCGGTTTATAGTGTTCTACAAACGATGTCAGTCTGTGATCAATACCCGGCTTAATTCTGTTTATTCTTTACTGGCATTTGAGCTGAGTAATCCAAAGCCTAAAAATACGTATACAAACTATTCTAATGTACATTAGGTCAACAAATTGAATGTAAACACCATCTTGAGTTACACATGTAAGGTTTCCTTCCGACATGTTTTATCCCACAACATTTGAATAAAGATGAGTAATTCATGTTATAAGTTTGTTTGCTTTTTGCTGATAAGCGTTGAAAAAGGAAATACTTTACAACGAATTTCTTCCCAATAACTATACAGTCATATGCGTATGTATTGAATTTTTCAATCTTTGGTCACTATTTATGTGCTTGTTTTCGGCAAGATCATATGACAATGAGCTATGTTTAAAAATCGATGCATGGTTTTATGGAGCGACTTTGAAGGTCACCTAACAAGTAGTGAGACTACCAATCAGGTTTCTCCATTCTAGAAACATACCTCCCCAGACAAAATAGAGAAGTCTGATTGGTCATTTCAGAAGTTCCCAGAATGGCCTTTAACGTCATTCATAAAAAGAGTGGCTTTAAAAGCCACCCTAGCAACAACTGAAATAACCAATCAGACTTCTCTATTTTATGAAAATCTGCCTTCCCAGACAAAATGGAGAAATCTAATTGGTTGTTTCCAGAATTGCTAGGATGGCCTTTAAAGTCACCCAGACATGCTGATGTGAAGATTTAAAATGAAACAAAACCTGTTACGTATGAGAAAACTTGACATGAAAGTGATCAGTGTTGAAAATATTCAAGTACCTTGTTAATTAAGCAAATTAGCACCACGGTAGCGAGAATCTGTATTGTTTGTTTGACTTTGATAACTAAATAACAATAAGTATGAAGTCAAAAGGTTTGTGATCATATGGCTGTAAAGATAAGATACATTGATTTATAGCTTCATCAGAAAACGGTCTCAGTTTTGCTATTAATTTTATAACAAAGAATAAACAAAGTATTAACATTCGTTTACGTAAATTAGACTAACATTTGCTATTGGAAGTCAGGTAAACATATTTAAAAGTGATCTTGATGCTACATGACGTAGCTTCATGGTAGTATACAATTCAAGGTCATACCATACTGACTGCATTTTATTAATCGTCATTATTATTGAATTAGTTAGTTAAAAGTAATGTAATATCATACAGTGAATACTTGATTTGTCATTAGACGTGAAGAAAACCAGTTATATATATATATATATATAATTTATCGTAATGTTGCTTTTTCGCTGCCACATTATAGAATTATGAACTTTCACTAACAAACTGGATAGTATTATAGTATCGTTAATCGATTTAATTAAAATAGCCGGAATATCATTTGCAGAATAAGATAAACTCAGAAAGTAAAAATTCATTGTCGAGTCTTGTAGGCAGGTATATCATTTCAAGTAGCCAAACATGTCAAAATTACAGCATAGAAAGAAAATGTGAATCAGAAAGAGGGGGGACTGGAGAATTCGATGGTCCTTGAGCGAACTGCTAAGTGACCTAAAATTGCTAATCGTATTTTCAAGCCAAAAAAATGATGGTTGGCAATATCTATCGTAAAATTGCAGCAACATATGCAGTATATAATCATTTTGCAGTATTTACTGATCCTGCATGTTTCTTCACCTTTTTGTCATCAAAAAGTCGAAGAAAGCAGATTGAGGTAAGTTTCACTAAGTTGTAACCTTAGTTCTAACCCCTACATCCCTAGATTTGACCAAAGGGAAGATACTACTCTCCATTAACTCATAAAAACAGAAATCAATCATCCAGTAGGCTCTATTTCCACTGCCGGCAATGAACAAAAGACTTACTGGCCTATTAATTTCTGTTTATGAGTTAATTTTAATTTCCTATATGTTAAAATGCAGATGATCAAACTTTATGCATAACTTCGTGATGCTTATTCCCAGTTTTAGTTACTAAATTTCGACTTGTAAACCAAGACGAATATTTGTGACTACGACTGTTAAGCTAGTTAAGATGTATTCATTTCCTATCCATAGAATCCTAAAAATCAAGCGAATTTCACATTATTTTACTTGTAATATAAACTGCAGAAATTTTCTGAGCCTTTGCAGACTGAACAATAAGGAACAACTCACTCACTTCTGATTGGTCATCTTGAAGTCATTTCAAAATTCCTCTGAGAGTAATTTAAGAAGACACCCTAACAACTCCAAAAGTAACCAATTATAGGTTTGTATTTTACTAAAAATCTATCTTTTCAATTGAAATAAAAAAATTTGATTAGCTGTTCCAGTCGTTACTAAGGTGGTCCCTTAAGGCAGCCCCTTTAGGGTGATAGAACTATTCAATTCTTCCAGAAAAAGAATTTTATCAACGCAGACATAAGTATGTGAAAGAAGAAAAAAAATAAATCAATGAAGGCTTATCATAAATGTTCACATTCTCGAAAGTGATCAGCTGCAAGTACGTCTTTCCCATTGTCTTCAGTTTCAAGGATCTTCAATTTAGTTTGTGAATCTTTCACGATAAGTTCCTGACACTGAATATCAAAGTAGATACTTACTAGATAACAGGATGGTAACTCATACTTGACAGCTATAGCTGCTGGATTCGTATTTCGATGCAAAGAATTAATATGAACATGAAAACACTCAACCGATAAGTCACAGGAGGAAAATAACGTTGGGTTTTGATTTCCATTGTTAACAGTACCAGACATGGGTAAACTGCTTCCATATTTCATTTCCTGTTATCTTTATGATTATGTAAGTGACGATTAGTCGAAATCAACGACCAGACTGCAACTGACAACTTCTTTAGAGAAAACTTGAGGATACACAGAAATACAATTGTCGTAAAATGAATAACACCAGTTGTAGAAACTTTCCTTTATTAAGAGAAGGAAACCACCTCCCTTCTTTTTGATCGAAAGCTGAATGCTTAAAGCACGCACTTGTTGTGGTAAGACGCTAACATTTAGACACTGAATCATAATTCAGCTAAAAATTCCTGTTCAATCATCCCAGTTAAAAAGTGATACTTTATTCCATAATATTGGGGACAATTGACGTGGTTCTTAATATATATGATAATTAAGCTACCTGTCTATGTAAACAATAAGAATAACTACCTCAAACACTAGCTAGTTGTCGAAATCCCTGACATGCCGTATATGTTGTGATCATAAGGGACAAAATGTTATCAGAATTATCTGGGAATATTACACCGTGGTGGCAAGCAGCATACACACCTGATAGTCTGTATTCAGTTGTTATCTTGTTAAAACTAAAAAGTAAGTGCACAGTACTGTTTTAAGTTTGGAGGTTTGTAAAGATTTATTTCAGTTGATATTCATCATGGGCTGAAATCAGTTGGAGAATATTGCAAATCTAGGAAGGCTGGAAAGCTGTTGCATCCTACTGTGGGACTCTGCAGCAGTACGCACCTATGATGTCACCTGGACTCAAACCCAAAACCTCCAGGTTTCTTGGCAAGCAAGTTACCGATGAACCACTGGGTTAGAATCAAATGGTCCACAATATCCTATTTCTGCCAGTTCGCGATATATCATGACTTCCATCAAATCATGTCACTGAGTGACTGTCTTCACGAACGACTTTGTTTATCCCACCGGTCAAGACTTCTTATTAGTACTCAACGAAACTAATTTCGAAGCCAGTCACCAATGAGGACCGGAAAGTAATTCAACTTGGAGGTTCGTGAGGATTTATTCATTGGTTTCAAGTTGGTATTCAACGCGAACTGGTAGAAGTAGTACTACTTGGTTTCCATCCAGTGACTTAGTGGTAAGGTGCTGTCCACGGAACCAGAAGGTGGTGGGTTTGATCCCTAGTAAAATTATGGGTGTGCACTGCTAAGGAGTTCAATATTACTTTCACTTGGAACTTTAGAGACTTTCATTCAGTATACCCAGTCTAAAATACACAGATAATATAAGTTAATCGTGGTGGCTTGCCAGTCACCAATAAGGGGGATTCAACCCAGAGTAATATAAGTATTGATAAGAATAGTGAGGGTGACACGATGGTGTAAACAGATATTTCAGCTATTACATTACACTAAAGCTTGGGAAATAGTGGTTTTTTATACGTCACCGAGCAATGGAAAGACAAATTAACAATAGAGCTCTTGAGTCTAACCTCAGGGCATTACTGACCTTCATGTGTATATCAAATTTACACTTTGAGTTTAATAACGTATAAAAAAGACAACTAGATGGAATCACAGGCTTCTTTCTAGGCAAATCAGCTAATGAACCAATGAAGGACGCTATCAAGAAGCTAAATGTGGATTATCGCTAAGATGATGTTTCATTCATCATCTTCGATAGCAAAAGAACATCGAATGCACCAGAATAGCATGACTCTATTGCATTTCAAAGATTTCACACTACCTACTTCCAAATTGAGGCTCATCAGCATCATATAACAAACTAATTTGAAAATACTTTACAGTCTTGAAATAAAATGTTTCAAAGTTTCAATTATTAAGCCTGCAAAATATCGACAAACATACATTGACATCTAGGCACGAGCGAAAGGTGACTAAATCAGCCAACATTCTTAGCTAAAACACAAAACTCCTCTCTAGCTTCACTGGTCTTAAGCACATGCAGAGCTCGTTAACTACAGAAATGGAACTATCTTGTTTCCCGTACAAACGTGTAAATGCATGGAATTAATCTGAATACGGAATTTGGAAATAAAATACTTGCCAATGAGAATGTATTTTCATCTTTCTGGTATGGTGTATTGAGACATTTACTTCCTTCAGTACAACTACGATAGATATTCACCCATGCAGGTTACCAGATTATTCGTTAGACGGAAATGGCAAATAAATAGAACATTCCTAGTGACTAATTCTGGCAACATCAAGAAATATTAGCATGACAGAATTTGTTCAAATGAATCAAACTTCATTTCACATTTTGAACGGAGACAACATTGGTATTGTTTCTTACTTCGCTTGGAAAACCCTTACTAATCCATTAGTGTTGCTGATTGTCTGCACGCATTCTGAGACTCATTACATTACCCAGTCAGGTGCCATAAAGCAACCAGAAGTAATCTCTGAATCTGGATTTCTCACTTGACACATCACCCAACCAAACAATTCAGTCAGCTGTAGTTAGTGTTTACGGACTCTGCACATATCACACTAGCATGCTGACAAGCTGGGATTTTGAGAGTAGTTCAGTTCATCTTGTTTATTTATTGTCATACTGTTGAGTAATTTGCCCATAAGCTCGTTAGATAAATATCTGACATGTGACCTAATATATCTGTAAACCAACAGTGGAGTGGTCAAGTGAATTTCTGATGTCTCATGACCTCATGGAAGCTGCCTTTCCGACGGACAAAACCTGTACAGTTTTGCACATGTTTTGTTCTTTGTGAAAACAGCTTCTATGGAGGTATGTAATATCATTAATTCGCTTTTCACTCCAGTGGGATTGCGCGAGTAAGTAACCTTTATAAATCACCAATCCAGTACTCAACCTATTCACTTCTGTCACATCGAATTTCAATCCTGTTATCTTCAAAATAGTATGTAGTGGTTACTACTCCTTATCATCATTTAACTAACGACGTCATTCAGTCACTCTTATTAAGTACCAATACTTTTCAGCCTCCATTTATGAGCATCACATTCAGCACTGAGTAGAACCTCATTGTAGATGGAAATATGTATCTTGCGACATCCTAATCTATTGATTTGTCACTGGACAGCAACCAATTTCATGTAGTTTAGTCCTGAGTACAGACCGAATTCTATCGATCATCTTGTAATAGTGCCACTAGACTATGAGGCTGAACACTGTGGTTGACTTTGATGGATGTTAGTTGGATGGAGGCATTTAGTAGGAATCTTTGAAGTTAGGTTTCGTGATTGTTGTTAGTCGTGGGTAGAGTGTATCTTCATTTTTGGGGGAAATGATGTGGTGGTGTCGTTAACTGTGACACTGGATGATACATGTTTGAATGTTGGAGGGGATTTCAGTTGGCTCAAAGTTTCACATACATTTTGTTGATGAGTTTCAGCAATCATAAAGTCTAGGTCCATGGCTTCTTACAGACTGGCTCTAGCCAACTAACATCCACTTAAGTGCACCACGGCCCTCAGACTCCTGTCTTGTTAGCCCTATTTCAAAATGATCTATAGAATTCGGTCAGCACTCAGAACTAGAATACATCAAGCTGGTTGCTGTTCAGTGGCCAATAAATGCAAATACTCTTTTTACTTACCCTGAATAACCAATGGTTTTCCACAACAATTTAAGAAATTTCAGTGGGAACAGGGTGTGTTGAATGCTAGTTTCATCTTTTTGCGATATTCTACTTACTGTCTTATATCTATGGTGCAGTGAGCATAAGAGTTATAACTTAAGGCACTAAAATGTGTTTACAGCAATTACATAACAGTTTTTGACTTTTGAGTATTAGTTTCAATGTTGTAGGAAATATCTTAAGAATTTTTAAGAATTATAAGCCATGCAATCTTGAACTCAGATGCCATTTAAATGAAATTAGGTAGGTAGTATTAATGTGGAGATTTAATTCTGTTTGTTGTGTTTCGAATGAAAATGTAGTTATATCAATCTCATGTTTCGATAGCTATGCTCAACTTGAAATTTTTCCACATTTATGCACATCAATTTGCCCATTAATTTTTAAAACTAAGTAGGATATATAATATTTCCAAGAGTTTGATGATCACAAATTCTCAAAGTTTAGTTTTGGTGATGCTAACTGTTATAAGGGTAACTGTCAAAAATCATTGTAGACCAGATTGCAAAGCATATGTCCCTTTCCTCCTGACTTGAGACTCTTCAGAAGTGAATACTATTAGGTTTACTAGCTAAGCACTAAAGTTGTCCCTGTGGTTCTTGAAAGTTGTAGATTAGTTACAAGGTTGGTTCAGATGTCAATATCATTGACAAGATTGTTAAACTAAACTAGAAATGATATCCACCAGTTACGAACATTTCGGAAGTTCTCCAGTTCGTTTTATTTCTTGTTGGATTTCATATCAGGACCTCTTTTACTAAATCTGAGTTGGTAAAATGAAACTATCACCGGTAAACAATGTACTTTAGGTTAGGTAGGGTAGAATTTCTTACTGTTTTTGTGTGCAGGCATCTCCATTTTCCTATTTCTTGTCTCCATATTAACATGAATTATTTCCATTATGTTTCTTTGTTGACATGTAGCACAGTGATGAATACAAACAAGAAATATAGTAGGATTATACTCTACTACAGTGCCCAAATTCTCTTTCCTTATCAATATGATTTTACATGACGAAATAAATGTATTTATTCATGAAAAGGAACAAAATTTTGAATGGTATTGTGTTCTCTGAGCTAGATGGCTTATTCGTGAAGCTTTCATTGTCATTCTAGACAACGTCATCACTACAAACTTCAGAAAGAACTAACATGTTGGGTTTTCTCTACATGTGGCTTACTAGCTTGTCCAGATGACTTTATATATGATTGATTGTTTCTGCTAAAGTCATGTCATTGTCAAGTTTGAAAGAATTAATCGATTTATGCCTCACAATGTATTTTTAATTCAACAGTAAACTCAACAAATAGACAAAAAGAATACCAATGAGATCGCCTGTATTAGGACTAATTGTAGAAGCAGTAATACAAAGATTGAAAAGTTCGGTATTGCTGTTCATCAAACCAAATTTTTAGGTCTGATATGTGGATTA